TGATGGATGGATGGACAGTGATGGATGGACAAGTGATGGATGGATGAATGGACAGTGATGGATGGATGGTTGGATGGACGGTTGGATGGACGGTTGGACATCTACAACTGAACAAATTTTGTAGTCAACCCAATTCAAGATGGCCGCCACAGCCAACTGACCATAGCGAACACAAAATTAGTTTTGACTTCTTCAGTTTTACGACATGGAGCTAAAGTTCGGCGTGGTAGTAGCCGAGAGTCATCCCAACCCTTCACAAATGACAGAGCAGTAAACTGAGAAAACTCCATCTTGTCTCCAACAAACAAAGATGTTGGAATAAAACTGGTGAACGCTCGTGGGCGACGTGATCTCTTTCAAGCTCTGATGGGACTTTAATGAACCGCGTCTTCTGTTTGTCTTCCTGTGGACACCACACCTGGTCCAGTTCTTCTGTATGTCTGTCTCTTCTGTCCTCGTAACCTCTCTCTGGTTCTGTTGCAAGAGGCCGACTGGACGTAGACACACTTTAGAAACGGAGCAGAAGAAACAAGTCCTTCCTCTTCTTTAGCGCCGCGGTAAGTGGTGCAAGTTCAGGGTTAGAATTAAAGTTGGACGTCGTGCGGTCGGACTGTTTTTGGACACTGCGCCTACAACTAAAGGCTCTGGTTTGACACGTTACGTTTCAAAACTTCCTCTGTTTGTCACAGCAGCTCTAAGAAAACAAGAAGTCGATGTAGGTTTTATCCAACAACGATAAGTCAGGTCCTCTTGTCGTATTAAAAAAAATTAAACTTGTTGAAATGTTACGTCTTTTATCCAAAAGACTTCGTCAGTCTGAGCTGCAACAAACTCAGTCTTGTACGTAAATAGCTCCTTCTCATAGTGAATCAACAAGTTTGCTGATGACATCCACAACCAGCTGTTCACATCATGGAGGACCATCAGCCCAATAATTGGTCGTTAGTGCCCTGATGACCACTTGCTATTCACAGAGGGCTGAGTGATACTAGCAATCACAGCATTGTAATAGTTGAACACAGAGGCTCCGCCCCTGTTTAATGATGGACAGGTTCTCATCACAAAGATGGCCTCCTTTACTCCTCTCTCAAACCAT